CTAAGTGACCAGTGTTCATATTCTATGATTTTGTTCAGAAATTATGTACATACCCCTCCGTGGTTGTTCCAGGATCCATTAGTGCTACTAATAGTAAATTGTTACTGGCTATTAGTTAGCTAGTTATTAACAGTGGCACCAATTCATCCAAATAGGCACTCACTGTTTGTACAACGCTTTCATTTGTTGAGATAGCCTGTGTGGTAGTTTTCAATTCCTACCTACATCCTGGAAGAATTAACACAAGAAAACTACTATTTTGTTTGTCAGTGTTCTAATTTGTATATCACTTGCTCTTTCTTATCTTATCATGCTCTTGCATATGAGCAGCTCTGAGGACTCCTACATCAGCGACACCTCCAGCGAAGGAACGCAAAATTACAATGTTGCGGCTGCTGCTGTCCTTGTTGCAAGGTTAAAAGCAGCAGTGGCCAATGCGGCTCCAGTGGTCAACCCTGCCCTCCCCTTCCCAAAGATGAGCGGGCAGCAGTGGATGCAACTGAATCTGCAAAACGAACAAAGGTGCAAAGAAAACCTGCGTATGTCTCCTGATGCTTTCCTGTATTTGCACAACATTTTAGTTGAGTATGGATTGAAGGGTACACAACAGACAGGATCCATAGAAACTTTAGGATTATATGTGTGGACTTGTGCTCACAACGAGGCAGCTAGAAGGAGCAGGGATAGATTTGAACGGTCTTTAGATACAGTTAGTAGGAAGGTTACTCATGTGGCCAAGATTATTAGAAGATGGGCAGACGGTATTCTAGTCCTAATTGATAGAAGTTATGCTGGAGTGCACGCTCAGTTTTCAACATACGCACCATTTTTTGATGGGTGCACTGGGGCGTTGGATGGAACTCATATTAAAGTGTCGGTGAAAAGGAGGCCAAACTTGACTACATAAACAGGAAAGGAGATGTAACAATTAATGTTTGTGCCATTGTGGACATGGATATGCGCTTCACGTTTGTCTGGGCTGGGATGGCGGGGTCAGTGCATGACATGGCCGTACTAAGAGAATGTTGGCGGCAACCAACGTTCCCGCATCCACCACAAGGTTAGTGATTAGTGCCATGCAATAGTTGAACCATCTTTGTACTTGTTTTTGTAGATAACGAAAATGAATTGTGGAAATGGTGCATGTGTTGCAGGACGGTACTATCTGGTGGACGCGGGATATGCACTGGAAACTGGCTACATGGCTCCATTAAAAAATACCAGGTACTATCTGGACGATTTTAGGGGTGTAGACATGGACACATTATCTCGACAGGAGAAATTTAACTTCACTCATTCGAGCCTCCGCAATGTAGTCGAAAGGACATTTGGGGTTCTCAAAGCCCGTTGGCACATATTGCATGGGGTACCGTTTTGTCATAGGGAAAAGCAAAAGATGATTATTATGTCATGCTTTGCAATGCACAATTTTTTACGAAATCGTGAGATTGGAGTTGGTTCGCCTACATACCCACCGTCGGATTGGGTTCAGATCAATGCTAATTCCACTATGTCATTAGTGAGGGAGTACATATCTGTGGCTCTCTGGGAACAACGATGCAACAAAGGTGATTAAAATTAAGATGCCAAGTTCTCAATTAAAGTTAGCCGTCCCATGTATTTGTGCCAATAATATAGAATGGGTTCTGCTTCCCTTAGTAGCCATTAATATAGAATGAGTTCTTCTTGTGTTATATAGGTTGCCCTGGAGACACTTATGGTGATCCATAGGCTTCTTTCCAAAGGTGATCCAGCATTCTGTGAAGAGTTTCTTACATTTACAGTTTTATACAAAGACTGCAAGTTTTTAAGTTGTCATACTTCAAGGATTATTCCATCCCATTGGTCTATACTTTTTTTTCCTGCTTAGTTTATATTAGATTTACAGTCATATTGTTCTTGGTTATGTTCTGTTTTCAAAATGCCTACACGTGGTTGTCAAATCTAACACAAGGTCAACATCTGAAAAGGTTTTATTTTTATACCTGTTTCCGACAATGGGAAGTTGGCATTGAATTGCTGTTCTTAAAGGAAAACGTTGTGAAGATTGGTTGGCTTAGGTTTTCGAGTGAAAGTATTGTCTGTTATTTCCTTGTCAAAATAAATAGGAGCCTTGACATAGCATCTGTACTAGATGATGATGTAGGTTCATGGCTGCAAATGGCTCAGACTCCTTGATACTCTCGCTAGTTGAAACAATACTTTCTTGCAAACTCGTTTTGCTACTAGCAAACAGCTTGTTAGGTTTATTATGGTCCACAGACATGGCTGCTGGAGTCGAGTCCAAGAGTGCATCTTGTCCAGTACCACTCTTTGCATTAATAGAGTTTGACCGGAGTATGCCATTAGTGGGCAGTTCTATATCATTGGAAGGAGTTCCCTTGGTGGTGGACTACCCATCTTCTGAACCCACATGACCTGCAGATGTAGGGGGCGTGACCAAGTGTTTCACATCCCCTAAACCTGCATATCCATTTGATGAATTCGGTGATGTTAGCCCCAGTGGTTGCTTTGTTGCATTTGCATTGTCATTAGTCAGAGAAGGATCAGACAAAGGTGCATCTGAGCAAGTTGTCGCCTCAGGTTTTGATTCTTCAACAGGCTCTCCGCCTTGATCCGCTACACTCTGTTTCTTAGTTTGTGTATTGTGGCTAGCTTCTGGTTGTCAAAATGGTTCTGTTGTCAAAGTAAATACCTATTTATTTTGAATGGTTTCCGAGTAAAGAATGACCCAGCATTTTGTACATGCAGGTTCATTTAACAAGAAGGCCACATGCAGGTCACCAAGGCATGAAGAGAATCATGTTTGTTAAGAAGTTGTCATGTTTGTAAAGAAGTGTAATTTGAACTGTTGTTTGTAATTTGACCTGTTGTAGATGACTGTTATGTGTACTGAACTGCTAGTTCACTAGCTTGTAATGGACTGTTAGCCTAACAAACTGTTATTTCAACTGCTGTATTGAATTATGTTGTACTGTAATTTGAATGGCTGGTGTTTTGACGCCATTAGTTGAAAGGATGTGGTGTTGGCGCCATTTTTTTGAAATGAACAAATGGCATTACTTGGCTGGCCATATTTGAATGGCTTGATGTTCTGCTGGCTGCCAGCTGCAACTGTTGACTGGATAGAGCTGATTACTTGGCTGTTTTTTTTCCTGTAGCAGATGGTTTTCAGCAGCAGCCGTTTCCAGGCTCTTAATACCAGCCGAACAAGCTGCAAAAAAGGGTATGCTTTGCCCAGTCCCCCTGGGTCTCTTTATGTAGCGAGTGCGCGCCTCCGCGTTGCTTGGCTGGGCGAGGTGGGACTAAACGAATGAACTAGTTGCGGCTTAGGCTCTGCCGAGGTCGAGCGCCCTGGCAATATACTGTAATGGGCTGCGGCCCAACACAGCTGCCATCTTTTCCTTGCTTTAGGCCCACCCATGGAATAGCGCGCTGGAGCCCAACAACACACTCAATACGTCTTCCTTCTCGTTTCTTCCCCTCATTATTATTATTATCTTTTTCCTTTGTCATGTCAATAGGTGTTTTAGACCCATTTCGAATATCTTATTTTTTATATTTTTTAGTATTTTATTAAAAGTATCATGTTAAGTGATATGAATGAATAAAGAAAAATATGTTAGTTATATAGAAAAGTAGAAAAATGTGTACTCAGCTTTGTGCCTTAGCCTGTCAAATCGGAAGCATCATCATCTGCAAAGTTACTTGAAATCATAGACATAGAGCCAAGCCAATTAGGGCGTCCCCAACAAGCTAGTGAAATCGTCGGATATGGCACGGAGCCAAGTAAAAAAGAAGAAGAAAAACTCGATAGCCATGAGCCGGGGCCAGGCAAGCAGAGAAAAAAATTTACGGGAACCGTGCGAGACTAGCGAGGAGTTCGGCGCTAGCGACGAGATTTTCGTACTTCTCTCACCTCCACGTACGCACTCAGCCCTTACCCAAGCGTCTCCCTCTTGTGTACAGTCGAAACCAAGGCAAAATTTGGCGGAGTATCCTCACCATGTTGATATTTGGAGGATTCCTGCTCGGAAAAGAATGTAAATCTCCCCCCAAAAAAAAAATGTTTCAGTTCAAACTAAGACTTCATTTGTATCTGTCGCGTGCTAGCATTCCACCTCGTGTAGATTTATGTTAATTTGCTGCCTTGTCGAATTGGAAGTATGCAACCTGATGCGAACATCAGCAACAGGAAGTGGAACAGGGTGTGTTGGACAATGACCACGCATCGCCATCTATCAGTTTATTCATTCATAGCAGTCTATGCAACCTTTCAGAAAAAGAAAAAGGAAAAAAGAGGCCGTGACAGGCAAAGCACATACGTATATGTGACGGATCCACAGAGCAGCCTAAAAAAACTGGGCGCATGTGAAACATCTGAACGGCGAGGCAATGTTTGGTCAGGATTCAGGAAACAAGTGCCCTTCGTTCTTCCTTCCACTGAAACAATGACAGCGTCTGAAAAAAAGGCCAACATCAGGGCGACATCTGTCTCTGTACATTTTGCGAAAAAACCCTCAAAGTTTGTAGGAACTAACCCATAGTCCCATGTTGACCCAGTCCGCGGTTCGCTCCCACACGCGCACGGCAATTTGGGGGGATATTTAACTTTTTACCATTATAACGGATGTCACCACTTCAGATAACACTCTTAAATTTGCTCATACATATTTACCATCGAGAGAGAGCATTTGATACATTCTTGCCATTTTTGCTGACGTGGCACGCCAACTCGACCTGACAGCATAAACCGGCCACGGGAAATGACATTTTTGCCCCTCATATATTTCTTCTATCTCTATCCCTTCCTCGCTCGAGCTCCGGCCATGGACGACAACGGGGTCCCTGGCGGCGGCTGACAGGACATAGGGGAAGTTGGGGGTGAGGCAGCCGGGGCCACAACCTGTAGGTCCACGACCGTGCCCGACGCCGGCGACGAACATGGCGGCACCTGGAGCACGCGCAAGAGCACGGCCTCCTCGGCGTCGGCAACGAACATGGCGGCCCCGTGCCTCCTCGTGCTCTTCTGCTTCCTCGCCGGTGGAGGACGCGCATCTCCGGCCACAGACGAGCTGCGCCGCGTCTCTTCGTGTGCGGTCGCTGCTGGTACCGGTGAGCCAGCTTCCCTCGTCGAACCTAGAGCTCGCGTAGCCAGAAGGGGAGGAGCCGGACCTCGCGCGCGTCGCCGGGGATGGGGGAGCAGCGACCGGAAGGGGAGGAGCTGGACCTCACGCGGCCGACCATGGGGAGGCATGCTGGGGATGGGGACGCACGCGCGGTAGAGCCCGCGCCCACGGCAGAGCCCGCGCCCACGGCGGAGCCCACGAGTGGCGGATCTCGTGCCTGCGTTCGCCATCGGAGTAGCGCTGCTAGCTAGGGTGGTGTGCAGACCTCGCGCTCGCCGGGTTGCTGCTCGTGTCTGGGAGGGAGGAGGAGGCGGAACTGAGAGGTGCGTAGGCCGGGATGCATCTTTACCGAGCGATGAGGATGAGACGGACGAAGAAGAAATAGATGAGGGGTAACAAAGTCATTTCGCATCCCACAGACATGCTGGCTTCCCTACGTGTCCTGCCACGTATGCAAAAATAACTTAAAGTTATGAATTCTTCTCTCTCAATGGTAAATATGTAAAAGCAATTTTAAGAGTGCTATCCGAAGAGGTGACGTTCATTGTAACGGTAAAAAGTTAAATATCCCCGATTTAGGTGGCGCCAAAAACCCTAGCCGCCGCCATCTCTCCTCTCCCCCTCACCGCCGTCATCGCTTCCCTCCTCATCTCTCCACCTCGCCGTGTTAGAGGAGCGTACCCGGATCTATGGGGAGGTGGCATTCGGCCATGGCGACGTCGTGGTGGGTCGCGGCCATGGTGGAGCGGCAGTGCTCGCATGCTCAGAGCCCAGAGGCAGGACGGGGTGGGGCGCCGCGGTTCTCGGCTTCTCGCGTGCTCAGAGCAGGCGGCGAGAGCACGAGGGTACGGCTCAGCAACAGCACCACATCCTCTCCGAGATCTGTTCACTAAAGTTGAGCTTTCTCTTCTCTCTCTCAGATCTGAACTGGATGGCCTCACGGGGCCTCAGTGATGGAGGGCAGCGGTAGCCCGGAAGGCCAGCATCCTCCACCTCCAACTTAAGCACGCATGCCTTAGTAGCTCCAAGGCGTCTGCACCCCACGGCGTCCTGCAGCCCCGCGCCATCGATGCCCCGTCCCTCTCCATTCCCCATTCCGCGCCGCTTCTTCAGCATTTAGGAACTGCATGTGCCTCAGATGCTTTGCCCAACAGCTGATAAAACGCAGTATGTTCTTCTTTTTGATTCATTACATGTTGATTTTTTTTTCTGTGATATAGATGATATGACTTCACTGAAATTACAATGTTTGACAAACAAAAGATACAATCCTATATTCAAGTGTTTTTTGCATTCAAAACATCCCGGCTGCTAAGTGCTAATACATGTTCCCTTATGTATTGTTGTCATCCATACCTGGTCTAAAGCTGAAATTGGTTCCAGCCATGGATATTAGAATCGAAACCAGCATTGTGCAGCAATAGGATTGGTTGTGCAATTAATAACTTTGAAAATATTGATAAGCTATAAATATTGCAAGACAAACATTGCCCTTAATTTTGGAAATTCTTCTGATACATTTCCACAACTGGCATATTTTGGAAATTACATTTGTGCTCTACTTCTGATTTGAATCAATTGCTCCTGTTTTTAATTTTCAGGATGGTAGAGAAAAAAAAAAGTGTAGTACATTTGTACTCGAGTTTCACCATAGTAACATGATCAGAAGAGTTTCTATAGTCATGCAAATTAGTTTTTTCAAATCATTATCGCTTGATGTTCTAGTCAGAAAAACCGAAGGCATGAGTGATGCGCTTCCCAAATCCGTATCTTCCTCTACCAGGCACGCGCTCCACTTGAGTTTCACCCTTTTCCCAGCGTATATTCACTCCACGTTCACTCACGACCCAACGCAACCACCGCCCGCGACACCGGCGACGCCCGCCACCTGTTCGACGGAGCGCCGCCCATGGCGAGCGGGGCGGACCGCATCAGCGACCTCCTGAAGGGCGTCCTCCACCACATCCTCTCCCTCCTTCCGGCGCAGGACGCGGTGCGCACGTGCGTGCTCGCCCAGAGCTGGTGCCACCACTGGCGGTCCGCGCCCGTCGTGCGCTTCGCCGGCTGGGCCGGCGGCGTCTACGCGTTCGGCCCCTTCGTCGATGGTCTGCTGAACGCCCGCCGCGGGGGCGCCCCCCTGGACTCCTGCGATTTCGACCTCGATGTCGATCTAGATCTGGGCCCGTATGACGTCCCCAGAATGGAGCGGCGCGTCAACAGCTGGATCCGCCGCGCCCTGCGGCGCCAGGTCCGGGAGCTCCGGTTCCAAGCGTCCATCAAGCCTCGGCTTCCCTTCGTGCTGGAGGATCGGCCCCTCGCCTCCGACCACCTCACGAGGCTGGAGCTTGTGAGTGTCCAGGGCAACGCCGGCGTTCTTGATTTCTCGTGCTGCCCGGCGCTGGACGATCTCAAGATGGAGGATTGCGATGTTCGGTCGGTGGAAATGATTCCCCATCCTTGAAACATCTGAGGATCATATACTGCCTCTTTTATTCCAACTACCGCACTGGGATGTCTTTCTATATATCATTGATCTTAATAATCTTTCTATATATCATTCACTTTTAGAAACATCACTTTGATGTACCAGGCTAAATGAAACGGATGCTGTTGAGTGTTTTACCATTCTGTCCTTCCACTTCCTCTCTTGGTCATTGACATTGGTCTGCAGCAGCCGGATACAATGGTGTACAATGGTGGGATCGTGTCAACTTCCACCCGCAGGTGTCTTAAAGCCACCGATCAGATAGACTTCTCTGCTGCTCTGCTTCAACTGGTGACAGCCTCTCCTCCGCCTTCTTCACTGGCCGGAAAAGGAGAAAGGCTATGGCTGAAGAGTTTGTAAATTGATTCTGTGCCGTTATGATGCATGACATTTAGGAGGTAACCTCTACTAAGGTAGAGAATACTAGTTTCCTTGTGTTTCTACTAGGATGGGTACACGGGAGTGCCTAGTTAGTAGAAACCTCCTACCTAGTTGTTCATGTATGGACTCATCAGTCATCAATTTGGGATATGTAGACCTATGTGTAAGCTGCCTATAAGATCTTGCCTGATCCGTGCTTTATTATATGTGATGAATCGATGTCAACTAGTGCAAGATTTGAACATGCATAGAAGCAACAGTAGCAAAAGCAATATATGATTAGATGGAAAACGAGAGGGAATAACTGGAGTCCGAAGTTGTTGGCTGCAGTCCGTTGCCTGACGCCGGCGTATTCTGCTCCCAGGAAACTGGGCTCTCACTTTGCGCCTCTGTTCTGGACGCCCGTGCCCCCTCCACTTGCCGCACCCGCATGCCGCACGGGGACCATTCGGTGCCGCTATCGACCTCCGCTTCCTGCGCTCGCTGTTGAGCAGCGCTCCATCCTTCCGCTCCCTCACGCGCATGCACGGTGCCCAAAGCAGTTGCAGCAGGCGGCTGTGGCGGGTGGGTCACAATGCAACATTCCGATATACTTTTGAAACATTCAGATGAAACACTTGCAACGTATACACGAAACAGCTGAAACACTTGCCATATGCACTTGCAAAACACTTGAAAACTATTGCAAACATATGCAACATCCAAATAAAACACTTGTAACATATGTGTGAAACATATGCAACATCCAGATGAAACACTTGCAATGAACATATAAAAAAACAGATGAAACATTTGGAACATACACTTGAAACATACGTGTATAGCCATTGCAACACGTGCAACATCACGATCTACTTTTACAACATCAAGATGAAACACTTGCAACATAAGCTTGCAACTTGCGCTGCGCAAATGTCACCTCGCTGCTTGGACGAGGTACTCGAGTAGCGTGGGCACGCCGGCGAAGGAGAGCGCCACGACGGCTAGGAGCTTCCACACGTCGAGGTCGAGGTCCCCGCCAGGGAGGTCCGCGTTGATGAGCGCCCAAAGGAGGTTGCCATTGTCGTCCCCCGCACCACCGAAGACGTCCGACTCGTTGACCACGCCGCCGTCAGCGAGGTTCTGGAGGAGTGGTGGGCGCGGCGTGGCAGCAGACGTAGCATGGAGCGGGATGGGGGCGCCGCGCGGCGCCCAGCGACGAGGCGGAGTGGTGCGGGCGCCCGATACGGTGAAGCCACGAATTTATGTCGGTGGGGATTCTCTCGCTGGGTGGAGATGGAGGAGAGAGTATAGAGGGAAGAAGACTGATTAGCTATTGGGCCCGATGGCTGCGTAGGCCTAGAAAACGGGGGTGTCCATACCCACGCGCCCGAACGGACGTCGGCATTGCCGCATTGCCGTGATAGTAAAGTTGGACAGGAGAAGTGACATAGACCACCAAATAACACCACTCACTGGGAGGAGCTGAAGGAGTGGTCACCAAGCAGTGTCCTGTCCTGTAATAGCGCCTTCTTCTGATATGTTCAGCAGCCATTCCTCAAGATCAGCACTTGCAGACCAGTTTTACAGGCTAGCAGGACGAAGGCAACACCATTTGAATTCTGAACTCTGAATCTAAACGGGGGGAAAAAAGGAAGAAAACGAAGGCAACACGAAGCGCTCCGCAAATCCAAATGTTCCCTACCAGGCTAGTAGGCCGAGGGAAGCCCTTCGTCTCATCTCCTCCCACCTCATCCGCCAATGCTGCGCCGCAACCCAACCCGCATCGAGCTCTGCTCCGCCGACCGCGACGAGCTCGAAGAGCACCTCCGCGCCGCCGCGGGGAGCACCCCAGCACCCACCACCACCCCGAACGACCCAGCCGGCTACACCACCCCGTCTCCAGTCCCAGGCCCGCACACCTCCAACTCCCTCCTCCACCTCCTCCACCCGCCGCCCGGCGCCGCGCCCTCCAAGGCCCAACGCATCGGCATCGGCCTCTCCACCTCCACCCCTCCCCAGACCCCGCCCCCGCCCTCGCCCTCGCGACCACCCCATCCCCACCGCCATGGAGGTTGAGATCAAGCTCCGCCTCCCCGACGCCGCCGCGCACCTCGCGCCCCGCCTCCTCCGCACCCACGCGCAGCGGAACCTCTTCTTCGACGACGCCGCGCGCACGCTCGCCGCCGCCGCCGCCGCGCTCCGCGTCCGCCTCTACGACGACCGCGGCGCCCCCGCACGCGCCGTGCTCGCGCTCAAGCGCCGCCGGCGTCAGCCGCGTCGAGGAGGTCGAGGAGCCTTTGGACCCCGCGCTCGCCCTCGCCTGCGCCGACGACCCCGCCCGACTCGCGGGGCTCGACTCCCCGATCGTCCGCCTCGTCGCCGCCGAGTACGGCGTCGGCGGGGACGCCGCGCCCTTCATCTGCCTTGGCGGTTTCAGGAACTCGCGCGCCGTCTACGAGCTCGAGGACGAGGGCGGCGGGCTCGTGTTGGAGCTGGACGAGACGAGGTTCGATTTCGGGACCAGCTATGAGCTCGAATGCGAGACGGCCGAGCCGGGACGGGTCAAGGAGGTGCTGGAGCGACTGCTCACCGTGGCCGGCGTGCCCTACGAGTACTCCCGGACCAACAAGTTCGCCTGCTTCCTGGCAGGGAAGCTGCTTCCTTGACCAGGCACGCCTTGTGCTCGGTATTCCCTTCACTCGGCTCCATTAAGCTGCATTGAACAATTAATGGCGAAATAAGTGGGGCTTCTCATATTTGGTGTATGCTTTGGTTTTGTGGCAAATGAACTTAATCCTGAGCCTCATCAAATTCGATTTCTCCCAAATCCTTGGGGGCAACTCATCTAGTGTAGTGTACTAACTTGCCATTTCAGTACAAGAGCCCCTGTTAGACCATGCCACCAGCTACTGTACCTCCATTCTGTAGCTCTGAATTGTTACCTTGTGAGGACGAATTTACATAGCATAGCTTTATAAGCAACACTATATTGATCCGAGCAGATAATCATGGACCGAGACAGTTGTAGTGCAGTATAAAAATTGAGGCTACAACCGCAAGCAAGCAAAGTTTGTTAATACACATCTCCTGTTCTTCAGGTTTCAGTCTGATGGCATGTTGGAGATGCTGACATTAGGAATTTAGGGTTCCTCGGTTACCAAGGGGAAATGGATACTATAAACAATATACATTGCATAATTGGATTCCAATTATTCCAACATTGATGGCACATAAAATCTACATGTGAGTTCATTTTTAAGAAAGTGAAAACATCTGCTAACAGTTCGGCAATAGTTTTAAAAATTAGAAATCAAGGGGCACAGCGTTGCCATGCCATCTTTGTGTTGGCTAGTGGTGATTTTGTGTGGGGCTGAATCGCTTTATCATTTGATGAAGAAACAATGTATAAGTTTTGTTGTGTGTTGAATGGACTGCTTACTGCTCAGGCCATATGAAAGAAATAGGGGCATGTTTTTTGATGAGTGCGTAGTGGTACCCACGTAATTTAAGTCTTTTTTTTGTCAAGTCGACAAAAACAAGGCATGAGCGTAAGCTCAAATATGTTTCATCAAATATTCTTCAAGAAAGTTTATGTTTTTCAGTGTGAGAAACATGTTTAAGCGAACACGAGGTTGTGCTGATCAATTGGTATTATTGCCGTGTATGTACCTAATTTCAGATTTGTATCTCAAAAACAACTTTAAAATATCATGGTAAGGAAATTTACCTTTGTTGATGCAAAAGTGGATCTGCAAACACAAAGGGCTAATACCCGAATCGATATCCAGAGCGTGCCAGTCGATTTGACCTGTTAATCGACAAGGATGAAGATACGAGCACTTTGGTCCCGACAACAAATGATACGCCCGAAAGTCACGGCCAAGGGGTACTCACACGCGGAACTCGAGAATCGCCAAAGGTCGCCTTTGAGACAATGCAACTCGCCGAATCAATGAGAACTCGTAAAAAGAAAAATATGCAAATTGACGAAGTCAAAAAAAAATAAGTAGATGTAAATAGGAGTAAAACTTGGTTTTGATATTGATTCCTCTTTTTTACATTGCCCTCGCTCCATATTTATACCCCGATATAAAGAGACACAACCAAACACAACTAGGACACCAAGCCCATATCTAAGGAAACACGTGACTCTTACATGAGTCATACTCTAACAAATATAGAAAAGGAAATCAACTCCTATCTATTTCCCCGTCCGCCTCAATTACGATGGAAAATCTCACCGTCCTCCTTCCCATCATCGGCATACTCCTGTTTCATCGACGTAGAGTTCAAGTCTTCCTTCATCGGCATACTCCTGTTTCACGGCGGTAGTCTTCAAGCCTCAAGCCTCCCTTCATCGGCATCGACAATAACACCTCCAACCTCATCGGCAACGCCCGAGTCTAAATCAACCTTTCCATCGACCACCACCAGCTATCGGCCACCATCTTTACAAAGTCGGCTTTCATCGGTTATCGAGTATACGATAACTTTCCCTTGCCGATCAGTCCACTCCGATCATTTTGACACGTGCAAAAAACGTGTCAACACATGCCCCCAATTTGAGAGTATAAAACCATTAATGCTCGAAATTTACTCCAGATAACATTTGCCTTCGCCCGATTATCAGTAACTCATTCTCTAAGCCAAAACTTGATCTCATTATCAAATCCAATCAAATCTAATCCTCGATTCACGCACTTCAAGAACATCGCACAATCGCCAACCACTCTTGCCTTGATTATGATCAAGATACCAAAACAATAACCCATCGGCAAGATCTTAACATGATAATCTTTGTCGTTTTCGAAATTAAAATATCCTCATGCACCGATACTTCTTCCAAATCATGATTACTTGCCATCAACTCATCCGCACAATCCCCGATTATCGTGCGACAGCTTACCATATCCATCCGAACCACCTCGACCTACATGCTGCGCGGTATAGAGATAAGTCCAAAATACCCCTACCCCAAGCGGCTTATAAATAGATTCCTCCTAACACTCGTCTTCTACCCTCGGACCCCAATCTTTGACATTTTCTCTTTCCGTGGCGACTCATCTGACGAACAACCTGCTGCGACCTCAACCAACAAGAACTCTTCTCCGGCGTTAACCTCAAGTCTCCTACAGTGCCCCATCTTCCTCAAGATAATGGCAATCAACTTCAACGTCCTGCGGTTCGCTCCACTTCCATTACCTTTTACTTTGATCCCCTAGTTTTCGCAAATCCATACAGGTTGGTGATTTTTCCTTTCTTTTTGTTCTCCGGATCCTTTAAACTTAGGAACTGCAGAACAAATTAGTTATTCCAACCGATCGGCCGCATGTCCAATGCCTAGGACCAATGGGCAACCCAGATCCAAGTGATCTGATTAATGCAGAGGTTAACAGAATCCCTTTTAGAGCCCAAAATTTCTCTCTGAATTTATGGAAAGACACATTCCGATCTTGGCCCAAGACCACCAAAGGGTGGAAAGATTGGTACTTGAGGGTTAATAGATCGATGCAAGTATACTGGGCAGAACGGAAGTTAGACCAATGCATTAGGCTATCTATTGCGATATGCGTGAAGAATGAATCAATGATGATTGCAAATTGCTTACTTACAGTCGAGACACAACAAACACTTTTATGTTTGGACATGGCCCATCTACTCCCACACTTGCCGATGTCCACATGCTCACTGGCTTGGATATTTCAACTGCCGATGAAGGCTCCATCTATGGTAGAAAATCTGAATATAGGGTGAATACCCGCAACATCGGCGGTTGGACGGGTACATTCAAGAATACCGGAAAGACCGGGACACTTAACCGAGAGGAACATGCCACATTCTTGAATATGTGGTTAGAAAAATTTATTTTCTGTGGTCGATCAGTTGGACCAACCAACGCCTTCCTCCCCGCAGCTGAACTTTTGGCTAATGGTGTAAGGTTTCCTCTTGGCCGATACCTTCTAAGCTCCACTTATCATCTTCTTCATCAAGTGTCTCGAAACTTACGCTTGGCGAACCCATCGGCAACCTAGGAGGCCCGTGGTGGTTTATCAACATGTGGTTGAATGCACATATGCACAAACGTTTGCAATGGGACTTTTTTGCCCAACAATTCCCACGAGAAATTGCTGAAGACCATGTGCTCGGGGGACGATGAATCGGCAACACGCTCACCCCCTCAATTTTGGTGAAGCCATAATTGTCCTTCCCGAACAGAGGCCAATGAAGACCGGATCGGCGATTCTTCCAAAGCTTCTACAATGGTCTTTCTCGTGATCATAGGGCTCTGGTACCTTATATTGACGAGGAAAATAGATTCCCCTTCTTTTCAACTTTGCCGATGACACCTCAATCGGGATAAGGAACTCATGATGGCCATCATTACTCCTGTGGCAATTCCAAGTAAATACATTTGGTAGCGGAAAAACACCAACATTACGTATGAATTTTTACAATCCATCGGCGATATCCGTCAATTGGCTTTTGGGCAACGCCAATCAAACTTTGCTTTGCCGATGTGATCAAACCGTGGAAACAATCACCGTGGAACAATTTGGAACAAGGTAGTACAACTCTCCCCGATGCTGATACTACGGATGTTGATATATCCACACGGGCGCCAAAGATCCTTCATCACCGAGTCATATAAGCAATGGTGGCGAGAGTGGAAGGAACAACTGCTTTGCAACTTCGCTCACACATATCGGCACATGATCGACCACGAATATGCCATCCACGATGACGCAGTAAGTTTCTTTTAACTCCCTTCGCTTTTCCTTTATATATCGATGGCGACTCTCTTATGACAAAGTTAACAACCCAAAGACCATCTGTGAGCAAAAGTGGAAACCCTTCGATCTTCACTGTTCTCCCGATATCATCAATCGGCTACAACGCCCCATCTTAACCGCTTTGACTCACCGGAAGATCCGTACCAAGACCATCACCTCTAAGTCCAAATTAGCTACTGACTAGGGCCACTCCATCGGTCTCTTTGCTACAACCTTGGTCAAGGCATTCAAGGTAACAACCTTGTTTATTTCTACTTATGCCGATCACAAATCGTATTAACATTAACCATCGGGGGTAAGAGTCTGCTGCTTTGGATCGTCATCGGCAATTCCTCCGATATCAAGCACCACTTCTTTTGACAAACCTTCGAGGTATCCTCTTGACTTTTCATTTTATCTCATTAAATATTATACCTTACACTTGTTTTGCGGCAACAATTGGGTACATCGGCAAGCGTGCGGATATATCCAAGCTTCACAACCAACAAGTGCCGATGCCCCCAACCAATCGTTGTTGATGCCCAAGCAAAGCACAAAGCTTTAACAGATGTCTTTGAAGCACGCCCAAAACGACAAAGGTCCATGCCGATCCCTACATACGCCCCAATGTCATCGGTCATCATACCTCAAGAGCCAACCACCGATGAAGTTACAGAGGATATCCCATCGGCAAGCTCACCGATCCCCACACGGCATACTCGGGTTGCTTCCTCCAACAAGCACGAAATTGCCTTGAAACAGGTAAACCAATTAACCTAGCTGATTTACAATACTCATACTTATCCTTAATCGACCTCCTTTTCTTTTCCTCAGAACAAGACTCCCCAAACAGCCTATTCTCCTTTGCTATTGACGTCTCGACGATGATGGAGAGG